TGCCAATATTATTGAAATGATTTTTTGCAGTAAATAAAGTTTTGTTGTCTAACAAAAATTGTAGATTTTAAATCTAGAATATAAATCAAGAAGCCACTGTAAGCCTTAGGATGTTACAGAAGAGAGAGCATATTAAAAATCACTTTAGATATAAAATTTTTATAAAGATCAATACTGTAGATAAGAAACAATACAGAAGCAAAGATAGAATCTTTTGGTACCCTTAAAGTTACTAGAAATAAAGAAAAGTTTTTCTTTTTTTTAAAGAAAAGTCTTTCAAGAATAACTTAAATACTGCGCACTAAAAAGAAATAATTTAATAATCTCAAAACCTTTATACAAAGAAACTAATAACAGAGTGAAGACTAATCATAGGATAGTTAGAGAGGTCAAAGTGTTTTCTAGAGTTTTGAAAAATTGAAACCACTTATTTAGCACTTTTCAAAAGTTTAGAAAAATTTGAAGGGAGTTCTGTAGAATACTTTTTTAAAACTATGATGGAAATCTTGTCTCGGGCACAAACTGTAGAAGCGTTTAATTGAGAATAAACTTGAGCTTTGAAAGCCAGAGTGATTTGGATGTTTAAAAATGGGTTAACCTGTTTAACTGGTATGACAGAAAGAATATAGCAAGTAGATTTAAGAGTCAAGTTAGAGAAAAAATTTTTTCCAAATAACTCTGCCCTATTCTAGGTAAAAGTAAAAAGATCAGACTCAGAATTAAACATTAAATATTACTTTAAATGATTAAAATTTACTTTAAATGTTAATGACACTATTGAAGACTTAACAAAAGCCTCTCAAACCTAACATCTGAGATACAATATACAAGATTTAGTAAATGAGAGTAACAGAGCTTAACATCAGGCAGAACCTTTTTACATATCCTTCTTGGAATAATAAAAGGACATTTTTTCTTAATAAAGATGTTCATGTAAAAAAGATGAAATCTTGTCTGAAGCACAAGTTCTAGTGTTTAATTAAGAATCAACTTTGAAAGTCTGTGATTTAGATGTTTAAAATGGGGTTAATCTGTTTAACTGGCAGGAAGAGTATGGTCATTAGATTCAAAAGTCAAATTATAGTAAGATTTTTTTTGCAAATAAGTCTGCTTTATTTTGGGGAGAAGTAAAAATCAGACCCTTGAATTTTTTTCCTTTTAAACCCATGTATTTTTGCGCTTAATGAGCTTTTTATTATGAATTTGTTACATTTACGACATTTATATATTTTTTATGTTACACAGGTGATTATCAATTATCAATTTTTTATCTAGAGTTTAGAACATATATAGTACCACATTTATTAGACATTTGTATGGTGCGATTATTTTAGTTATGAATACCATTATAAACCAGCGGATTTTTATTGACTTGTTTACTCATAGATCATTATTTCATCATTTGTTTAAAGACGACTAGAGTGTGAGTTTTTATTCCCCTTTTCCTGAGTTGCTTACTTTTACTCTTCCAACTAAATAGTCTTTGCATTAATTTATGTTTTTTTACCTATATGACATCATCTTCAATCTGTTTTTATTTTCACATCTCCCAGGTCTACGTAACTGGACGGCTCCGTTGGTCACTTTTTGCGATCATTGTGTCGCATAAACAAAAATTTACTTTAAATGTTAATGACACTATTGAAGACTTAACAAAAGCCTCTCAAACCTAACATCTGAGATACAATATACAAGATTTAGTAAATGAGAGTAACAGAGCTTAACATCAGGCAGAACCTTTTTACATATCCTTCTTGGAATAATAAAAGGACATTTTTTCTTAATAAAGATGTTCATGTAAAAAAGATGAAATCTTGTCTGAAGCACAAGTTCTAGTGTTTAATTAAGAATCAACTTTGAAAGTCTGTGATTTAGATGTTTAAAATGGGGTTAATCTGTTTAACTGGCAGGAAGAGTATGGTCATTAGATTCAAAAGTCAAATTATAGTAAGATTTTTTTTGCAAATAAGTCTGCTTTATTTTGGGGAGAAGTAAAAATCAGACCCTTGAATTAGAGAATAAAAGTTAGGCTTACTTTAGTTAATGAGATTGTTGAAGACCAAAAGTAAAAGTATAAATTCATTAATTTTAGTCTCTAAATGTTAATTTAAGTCTACTTTAAATGTTAATGACATTATTGAAGGCTTAACAAAAGTCTCTAGAACCTAACATCTGATATAATATACAAGACTTAGTAAACTGAGAATAACAGAGCTTAACATCAGACAGGACTTTTTTAAATTGGCTTCATGGAATAATAAAATGACATTTAAATATAAGAGAGATGTTCTTGTAAAAAAGACGAAAAAAATGATTAATGTTTATAAAGCAACTGCTAAAGATGGTGGAAAATGTGGAGTAGAATAAGGCTCGACTTAATATTGAGGAGTAGGAATAAAAGCTTTCAAACATTTAGTACAGAAGAATTAAAATCTTCATAGATGCGCTTTATGCATAAATATTATTATCAAACCCAGCCTTGGCCCCAGCTATATTTTATCAAACCCGGCCCTGGTAAAATATTAACCTCGGTCGCTTACTATGCAATACCCTTACGCTTACTATACGATATTACGGTATATATGGTCGCTTACTATACAATATTGAGAAAATAATCACTCAGATAATTTTTTTTTAGAGAATTTTTTTTTTACTGAATTCAACTCAAAAACTAGGAATGTAGTTGACTATCATGATCTTCAGATACTGAGGTAATTTAACACTGTCTAGGATTTTGTATACTGTGCCACTGTTTACTAATGATAAAGTTTTATTTTGTAAGTCTAGTGGTATTGAATCTGATGAAGATGGTCTAAATGATGATGATTTTTACATTTCCTAGAAAACTTAAAACCTCTAGGTAAAGTTTAACCTATTTATTGGTACCTGGAACATCTACTTATTAGTAGAACAAAAGACCAATACTTCTCCAAGTTTTTTAAGGAATAAGATGATTGTACTGTCCTGATATTAGTGATCAAATAGATAAATTTAGAGTTAAGTACGCAATCGAAGAATGAAATGTTTTTATATAATCGATAGGTTTTATAGTGCATTAAATAGGTGTGGACTGTTAAGGCTATTGCTCTAGACATTTTTGGGGCCTTTGATAAAGTTTGGCATGCTGGTCTTCTCCATAAGCTCTTTTCTTACAGTGTGCCAAAGAACATTTAGAATTATTGAATCCTTTCTTACCAATTGTAGTATAAAAGTTGTTCTTAATGGAAAGCACTCTTCTTTATTACCTGTAAATACAGGGGTTTCTCAAGGTTCTATCCTTTGCCTATACTTTTTTTTAATTTACCATAACAATCTCCCAGAAATTCTCACATCTAAGGTAGCTTTGGTTGCTGATGATACTATCATTTATTTTTGTCTTGATAGGATGTCAACACTCTCTGATTGCTTGGAGGGGACATTTGTGCTTGAAATGTATCTAACTTCTGCTACAGTATAGGACTCTTAGTAGCTGGTGAACTTGTGAACTCAAGTAAAAGTCGATATTTTTCTACCAATCATTTTAATATATTTCTATATATATAAACAGTATTGTACTCAATGAATCATCTACCCTTAGTCTTCTAGAAATAGCTCTTGTTTCTGATCTTTCTTGGAAAGCATGTATTAAATCCATAACAAAATTAGCATCTGCTAAGGTTGCACCTCTTTAAGATTGCATGTCTTTTTGTTCAATAATTTTTTACTCCCAATTCTATTCTTGATCTCTATAAATTTCAAGTCTGTCCTTGTATGCCATACCTGGAGCAGTTCTTTGAATGAAGCCTTTATTTTTTTAAACAAAGTGCAAAAATGCATTGTTAACATAATTGGAGCTGCTTTTGCAGCCAACTTTCAACTATTGTCACATTGTCGTATTGTTACTTTTTTTTCTCTTATTTATAAATACTATAGTGGGTAGTAAATCAAATCTCATCCTTTTACTGTGACTGTGACTGTTCCTAAGCGCTCCAAAAATTTTTATTTGTCAAGTATTTTTACTGAATCATTGGTTTTTTGGAATTTGCTCCCTTCATCTTGTTTTCCCAATTCATGTATTTTGCAATTTTTTCAGTTGTCTGTTAATTGTTATCTTACTTTATGAACTTCATCTTTTTTCTTCCGTTAACTTCCAACTTTAGAAGCGGTTGCTTGCAGTCTTGTTGGAAATGAAGATGTTGGAAAAAAAAATTAATTAGTTTGAATGAAAAAGACTTGCCTGAAGATGGTAAATTTTAGGTAATCAAATAAAAGTTTTTCTCATTTATTAGAAAACTTTTGACTTCTGATAAATGAAAAAACTTTCTACACAAGCGTTTAAAATTCTTTAAAATTCTTAAGAGTAAATGAAGAGGTTTTCTTTAAAAATTTTTTCTTTCTAAAATTTCATTCTTTAAATTAACTTTAAATGATGTTTGATTATAATATTGAAATAAATATGACTACAATAGAAATCAAAATGCAAGGACATCATACAAGGAAGTTGTATCTAAGTTTTTGGAAATTATTAAAGACACTAAAACTATTGACTTTAAATTGATTCAACCTTTTTATTTCTGACAATTCGAGTTTCACTAGGATTTAAAGGTACGAAAAAATATTACTGGGGTTAGTAGATTATTGCTGCTCACTTAATCTAAAATTTTGCTTCAAAGAGCAAAAGAAAAAGTTTAATATATTGATTTGCATTGACTATACATGGTGTGTTGAGTTAAATAATATTTTTACTCAAAAAAAATGTAGGTTTTTTTAATTCTTGTTTAACTTATTTGATTGGTTTAAAAGTCATATTGTGAGGGAGCCATGGATGAAGTTGGTAAACCACAAAAAGTGGATTGGTGATGTGTTTATAGGACCCAATAGTACATGAAGTTTATATTTATAGGACCCAATAGTACATGAGGTTTAGCTGCATTTGTTTAAAAAGTTTTCCAAAAATTTGTTTTTGGTTTGTCTGTGTTTTTCTTTAAAATAATAACAATTTCCTTAATTATATTTTTTAGCTTTTGATATCATTTTTTACCACTACTATTGCAGCACAATTGAGTAGCATCTCTATGAGTGTTGGTAAGTAGCTGTCTAATTGTTGATTGTTGTAACAGATTGTTGGTAACTGTCTACACTTAATTTAAATACAAAGTATTCTGTAATGAGAATTGAAGTAGTTATGAATCTTTTTTTTTTTTCAAATATACTTTAAAATTTTACTTTTATATTTATAATGAAATTTTTTTTACATTAGCTGGCAAATGCAATTTGTGTCATCCAGTTCTAACTTGTAATATATTTACAAATGGAATTACTTGTGCTTGTAGTCCATTTTCTTGTCTTAGTCCTAATACCCAATGTATTGTATCAACAATCGATCCATCAATCAATCCATGTAGTTGTCTTCCTGGGTACAATACAGATTCTTCAGGAAACTGTATTGGTAATTTTTTTTTAGAATTAAAATTTTTTTTGAAATTATTTAAAAGTATCACATTTGTTTTTTTTTTTTTTTTTGGTTTGTATTTTTTTTTTTTTAAATAATTATTTAATATAAAATTGTTTTGAAAAATAAATTCTATAGTATAATCAAAAAATTTTACAAAATGTCTTTATTATAAAACCAAAGTTTTTATTGATAAAAAAAGATAAGAATAAAGAAAAGTTTTTTAAATTAATATTAGTTTTAACTAATAAAATTAAATAAAATTTAGATGAATAAAAGTTTTAAATGTTTTTATAAATAATTTAGATAACTATTATAAAAAAAAATAGTAATCTTCAAAAAAAAATTGGGACTTTTAACATCTAAATATTTATTACTTTACTATAAAATAAAAAATTCAGAATTTGTTATATATAATGCTATTTTATTGCGCACCAATTATGCTGTCTCTTGGAAAAATGTAGCTAATAAACTGTAGGATCTAAGTTAGCTGATACTCTGTTATTGATATATGTTACTGATACTCAATATAACTTCTAAATGACCTTTTGGGTAAATAACTTCTTTGGAAGCATGTGGAGCACCATCCTCTCCAACGAATACACTTGCAACTTCACTAACTATAGTTTGCAAATAAAACATTAAATTATGTAAGCAAAGTTGATTGCTATGTTATTGCTTTCTAAAATTTACTGCTGCAAATGGGTCAGATATACAGTTGATAATGGTGGGGGAATATCTTGATTTGGCCTAAGATTACCTGCACAATGAAAAGCTTATCTCTTTCATTTATGTGATAATTACTTTCAACTTGCCTAACCATGATGTTCTAATTTAGGAATAAATTAATTTTTTCTTGCCAAGCAGCGTTTCTTACATTTTGACAACAATTAATTTTACCTTGCCTAGTACTAATAGTTTATACTTTAGTTTCACTAAAGTATAAATTATTTTTAAGTTATTAGTATTTCTTCTAATAACTTCTTTAAGTCTAATATCATCTATTTCAATTTCACTATTATCAATAAACTTATTAACAGTAGTATTACTGTTGTAGTAATAAATAAACATAAAATAACATAAAAGAGTTTTAAGAACTATGATCTTTTCTATAAAACTATTTATTAATTAAAAAAACTTTGATAAATTGCTGCTATTAAAAAAAAAAAGAAAAAAAAAAAGGATAGAAATTAAAGAAAATTATCCAAATATTTATGTGGTGAAAACATATCTAAAAAGAGATAAATAATAATGTTCAAATTTACAAAATAGTATGACAAAAAATATGTAAACTGTTTATGAAACGAACTTAGATTTATCTAATATATAAAACAACATTTATTAGTATCAATTATTTTTAATGTAACAAAGAATGCAGACTACAATGCCCAACATTGTTGATAAAAATGAAGCATTGTCAGTCAGTATATTTTTATCTAAAATAATAAAAAAGATGAAACCATTTAAGAACAAATTTAAAAATTTTTTATAAATATATATTCAGATACCTTAAAAAGAAGCATAACATAACATTCTTTCGACAACTTCCAGCAGAATATTTTTTACTTTATTTATACTTTATTTTTTACTTTATTTATAATTTATATAAATATTATTTATTATTATATTTTTACGTCTATTATCTAGCATTATCTAATAAGATAATGCTAGATAATCTAGATAATGCTAGATTAAAGAGTTAAAATGAGTAAAAATTAACTAAAATTAAAAAAACATTAACAAAATAAGAAACTATAATAAATCATATAATAACATACAAAAATCAAAATAAATGACATTGTTTTACAATAAAAGCAAAAATGTTTGCAATTAAAAAGTGCTAATTACAGATAAAATAATATCTTAACTTTTTTACCTATTTTGTTTTCAAAGCTCTTTCCAACTTTTTTCTTTCTCTGTCTTTTTTCAACATATATTCATATTTTTTTGTGTTTATCTTTAAAAGTTCTAACCTTGCCTACTTTCCCTCTCTTTCTGTTTTAGGCTTTTAATGATTTCTCATTATTTGTTTTGTTTAGTTTAAATAAATATTCCTTTTTACTTTCAGACTATAACTGATTAAAAATATTTTTTTAATTAGTTATAGTCTGATCGTAAAACATAGTTACACAACTATAAAATATAAAGAATCAAGAAGTAATCCAATTGTCATGGAAGTACACACATGCATTGTCATAGAAGTACACCAAATGCAACCTCTATCAAAAATGTTTACGATGTATTTGGTTTATTCTGCAATTAAATCTTAGTAAAGTTTGTTAAAATCGAATATTCTGTAGAATTTAAGTCCTTCAAAAGTTGCATTCTAGATCTTCCAAGTTTAATTTATTCTGTGTGTTGTTCCGTGACAATAAATATGATTACATTTTGACATTAACTAATGGTCCTATATTTATCTTTGAGGTTAAAATTGTAAATTTTTTCATGTTTAATGTCACTACTTTTCAATCCTGCCCTTTAATGAACAAACTAGCTTAAATAGCATAAAGCTTTTTTTTATCTGCAACAATTTAAACACTTCATTTTTGTCATTCTTAAAATTGTTTAATTTAATTAAACATGATTGAGGATGACAAAATTTAAATTTTTTACATTGTTTAACACAATTTTTTAATTCTGCCAAAATCTTCATTTTTTATTCCAATTATTTAATGTTTTTATATAATCATTTTTTTTTATATAAAAAGTAATTCTGTGCTTAACTACAAACTGTACAATTGTTATTAAGTGGTAAAATAAGAGTAGAACAATTTATAAAAATATCGAAATTTTATTTCAAATTGCAAAAACTGTTTGAAAAAAGTTATGCAAATTGCAAAAATAAAATATCATTACTCTAAAAATGTTACTTTGTTTCCATTTTTCTAGAAATGCTTCAAAAGTTGTAGAATATATATAAAAGTATAAAATATTTGGAACACTTAGATATTTGATATTATTTTATGATATTATTTTGATATTATTTTTGATATTATTTAAGATATTATTTTTGATATTATTTATGTTATTTTTGATATTATTTGAAATACTTTGATATTTGATATTATTTTTACTTTTTTTTCAAGATATTAACGAGTGTCAAAGCTCTTCACCACCATGTTCATGGAGTAATGGAGTATGTACAAATACAGATGGAAGTTTTATCTGCTCCTGTAAAAGCGGGTGGAAGATGGGTCAAAATAATTCTAGCTGTGTTGGTAAGTCATTTTAAAGTAGTTTAAATATTAGCTTGTTTAGTTTTAATAAGTACATGATTTAAGAAATAGTTTTTGAAAACATCTAAATTTTTTAGTTCTTTCAATCTTTTTTTTTTTCCTAATCTTTTAATATTTCTTAAACCTTTTTTTAAATATAATTAATTCTTTGCTGAACTACAAACTCTGCAATAGTATCTGTTTTGTCATCAAGTGGTAAATTAAAAGTTGAAAAGTTTGTTAAAAATATTGAGATTTTGTTTCAAATTTCAAAAATTAATTAAAACAAGTTATGCAAATTGCAAAAATAAAAAATCATTACTCTAAAAACGTTACTTTGTTTCCATTTTTCTAGAAATGCTTCAAGAATTGTAGTAAAGTATAATAAATTTTAAACAATTTGATATTTGAAATTATTTTCACTTTTATTAGATATTAACGAGTGTGATAGTTCTTCACCACCATGTTCATGGAGTAATGGAGTATGTTTAAATACAAACGGAAGTTTTATCTGCTCCTGTAAAAATGGATGGATGATGGGTCAAGATAATGTTAGCTGTGTTGGTGAGTCATTTTGAAATAGTTTAAATATTAGTGTGTTTAGTTTTGATAAGTATGTATATATATATTATACTTCTTTTATTGTAATAGTTATTTAAACTGAAGTTCATAATTTGTAGTAGTTTTTAAAAATAGTAAAATTTTGATAAATTCAAAGACAATCAAATTCAACATTTTTTTATTGCTTTAACAAATAAACTTGAATAGATTTGAATTTATGTCAAGGAACAATGAAAGACTGTAAAATCAACTTTTTACTTAGGGTTTAAGTTCTATCAAGTTTTATAGAGTGACAGCAAAAAAAAAAAAATCCTTTAAACAGGTATAAAAGTTAAATTTAAATATATAGAAAAATCTTTTTTTATATAAATATTAAAAAAAAAGTTTTTTATTCTAAATCAGTTTAAGTCATTTAATGTCATGGAAGAACAAAAGTACACATTAATAATGTTATCATTTAATACTTTTTTAAACAAAAACAAATTTTTCATACATGTAAATGGCATTGTTTTACAATAAAAGCAATTTAACTAGTTATATTCTGAAAGTAAAATTGAACAAAAATCATAAAACATAGTTACACAACTATAAAATAAAATGAATCAAGAAGTAATCCAATTGTCATGGAAGGACACACATTCATTGTCACTGAAGGACACCAAATTCAAACCTCTATCAAAAATGTTTACGATGTATTTGGCTTAATCTGCAAATAAATCTTAGTAGAGTTTGTTAAAATCGAATATTCTGTAGAATTTAAGTCGTTCAAAAAAGTTGCATTCTAGATCTTCCAAGTTTAATTTATTATGTGTGTTGATCCGTGACAATGAATATGATTATAGCTTGACATTAACTAACAGTATAATATTTATCTTTAAAATTAAAATTGTAAATTTTTAAATTTGTAAATTTTTAAATTTAACTGGTAATGAAAAATGTATGTTGGAATAGTATAAACATTTTTTTTTTTTAATGTTTAATGTCACTACTTTTCAATCCTACCCTTTAATGAGCTAACTAACTTGAATAGTATAAAGCTTTTTTCTATCTGCAACAATTAAAACACTTTTTTGTCATTTTCAAAATCGTTTAATTTAATTAAACATCTTGAGGATGACAAAATTTAAAATTTTTACATTGTTTAACATAATTATTTTGCCAAAATCTTCTTTTTTTATTCCAATTATTTAATGTCATTATTAAATCGTTTTTTTTTAATACAATAAGTAATTTTGTGCTTAACTACAAACTGTACAATTGTTTACTAAGTGGTAAAATAAGAGTAGAAAAATTGCTAAAACTATTCGAAACAAGTTATTGCAAAAACAAAATATCATTACTCTAAAAATGTTACTTTATTTCCATTTTTCTAGAAATGCTTCAATAGTTGTAGAAAAGTATAAAATATTTGGAACACTTTAATATTTGATATTGTTTTGATATTATTTATGATATTAATTGATGTTATTTTTGATATTATATATGATATTATTTTTGATATTATTTTTGATATTTTTGATATTATTTGAAACACTTTGATATTTGATATTATTTTTACTTTTTTTTAAGATATTAACGAGTGTAAAAGCTCTTCACCACCATGTTCATGGAGTAATGGAGTATGTACAAATACAGATGGAAGTTTTATCTGCTCCTGTAAAAGCGGGTGGAAGATGGATCAAAATAATTCTAGCTGTGCTGGTAAGTCATTTTAAAGTAGTTTAAAAATTAGTTTGTTTAGTTTTAATAAGTATATGATTTAAGAAATAGTTTTTGGAAACATCTAAATCAGAAAATTTGATTTATTTATATTTTATATCATTTTTTATATTGGTTATTCAATAAAATTTTATATTTTGTTTTAGTAACATGTAGATTTTTTAAATAAGTTTTAGGACAATTATTTTTAAAGTTGGCATTTTTTGATAGCTTTAATGAAAAAACTTGAATTGAGTAAAGTTTTTTTTATATGCAACAATTAAAACACTTTCCTTTTTCATTCTCAAAATCATCTAACTTAATTATAAATTTTTAATGATGACAAAATATAAGTTTTTTAACAATTTATTAATTCTTTCTATCTTTTTTTTTCCCTAATCTTTTAATCTTGTTATTAAACCTTTTTTTAAATATAATAAGTTCTTTGCTTAACTACAAACTCTGCAATAGTATCTGTTTTGTCATCAAGTGGTAAATTAAAAGTAGAAAAGTTTGTTAAAAATATTGAGATTTTGTTTCAAATTTCAAAAATTAATTAAAACAAGTTATGCAAATTGCAAAAATAAAAAATCATAACTCTAAAAACGTTACTTTGTTTCCATTTTTCTAGAAATGCTTCAAGAATTGTGGTAAAGTATAATAAATTTTAAACAATTTGATATTTGAAATTGTTTTCACTTTTATTAGATATTAATGAGTGTGATAGTTCTTCACCACCATGTTCATGGAGTAATGGAGTATGTTTAAATACAAACGGAAGTTATATCTGCTCCTGTAAAAATGGATGGATGATGGGTCAAGATAATGTTAGCTGTGTTGGTGAGTCATTTTGAAATAGTTTAAATATTAGTGTGTTTAGTTTTGATAAGTATGTATATATATATTATACCTCTTTTATTGTAATAGTTATTTAAACTGAAGTTCATAATTTGTAGTAGTTTTTAAAAATAGTAAAATTTTGATAAATTCAAAGACAATCAAATTCAACATTTTTTCATTGCTTTAACAAATAAACTTGAATAGATTTGAATTTATGTCAAGGAACAATGAAAGACTGTAAAATCAACTTTTTACTTAGGGTTTAAGTTCTATCAAGTTTTATAGAGTGACAGCAAAAAAAAAAAATCCTTTAAACAGGTATAAAAGTTAAATTTAAATATATAGAAAAATCTTTTTTTATATAAATATTAAAAAAAAAGTTTTTTATTCTAAATCAGTTTAAGTCATTTAATGTCATGGAAGAACAAAAAGTACACATTAATAATGTTATCATTTAATACTTTTTTAAACGAAAACAAATTTTTCATACATGTAATTGGCATTGTTTTACAATAAAAGCAATTTAATTAGTTATAGTTTGAAAGTAAAATTGAACAAAAATCATAAAACATAGTTGCACAACTATAAAATAAAATGAATCAAGAAGTAATCCAATTGTCATGGAAGGACACACATTCATTGTCACTGAAGGACACCAAATTCAAACCTCTATCAAAAATGTTTACGATGTATTTGGCTTAATTTGCAAATAAATCTTAGTAGAGTTTGTTAAAATCGAATATTCTGTAGAATTTAAGTCGTTCAAAAAAGTTGCATTCTAGATCTTCCAAGTTTAATTTATTCTGTGTGTTGTTCCGTGACTATGAATATAATTACAGTTTCACATTAACTAACAGTCCTATATTTATATTTAAGGTTAAATTTGTAAATTTTTAAGTTTGTAAATTTTTAAATTTAACTGGTAATGAAAAATGTATGTTGGAATAGGATGAACATTTTTTTTTTTTTTTAATGTTTAATGTCACTACTTTTCAATCCTACCCTTTAATGAGCTAACTAATTTGATTAGTATAAAGCTTTTTTCTATCTGCAACAATTAAAACACTTCTTTTTTGTCATTTTCAAAATTGTTTAATTTAATTAAACATCTTGAGGATGACAAAATTTAAATTTTTTACGTTGTTTAACATAATTATTTTGCCAAAATTTTCTTTTTTTATTCCAATTATTTAATGTCGTTATCAAATCATTTTTTTTTAATACAATAAGTAATTTTGTGCTTAACTACAAACTGTACAATTGTAAATCTATTTTGTCATCAATTGGTTTATTAAGTGGTAAAATACAAGTAGCAAAATTGCTAAAACTATTCGAAACAAGTTATTGCAAAAACAAAATATCATTACTCTAAAAATGTTACTTTATTTTCATTTTTCTAGAAATGCTTCTAAAGTTGTAGAAAAGTATAAAAAATTTGGATTACTTTGATATTTAATATTATTTTTACTTCTTAAAGATATTAACGAGTGTGATGGCTCTTCACCACAATGTTCATGGAGTAATGGAGTATGTACAAATACAGGTGGAAGTTTTATCTGCTCCTGTAAAAGCGGGTGGAAGATGGGTCAAAATAATTCTAGCTGTGTTGGTGAGTCATTTTAAAGTAGTTTAAATATTAGCTTGTTTAGTTTTAATAAGTACATGGTTTAAGAAATAGTTTTTGGAAACGTCTAAATCAGAAAGTTTGATTTATTTATATTTTACATCATTTTTTATATTGTTTATTCAACAAAATTTTATATTTTGTTTTAGTTCTAACAACATGTAGATTTTTTAAATAACTTTTCGGACAATGATTTTTAAAGTTGGCATTTTTTGATATCTTTAATGAACAAACCTGAATTGAGTAAAGTTTTTTTTATCTGCAGCAATTAAAACACTTCCTTTTGTCATTCTTAAAATTATCTAACTTAATTATAAATTTTTAATGATGACAAAATATAAGTTTTTTCACTGTTTAACACAATTTTTCAACTTTGCCAAAACAATTTTTAATTTCCCTTAATCTTTCAATGTTGTTATTAAAGCCTTTTTGAAAAATAATCAATTCTTTGCTTAACTACAAACTCTTCAATATAATCTATTTTGTCATCAATTGTGATGACAAAAGCAGTGAACGCCTGATGGAAGAAATGAAGTACATTAGAATAAAGGAGAATTGTTTATTAGACAAAGCATATTTTGACAGTTGTCAAGACTAAAATAAAGATTAATAGAGGAATATTTAAAAATAAATAAGACAGGCTATACAACCGAAACAGTACTCAACAATAATAACAATAAAAAAATTAAAAATAAATGATAAAAAAAAATTATATATATATATATATAAAAATAAAAAAATTCAAAAATAAAAAAAAATTGTTTTATAAATACCAATATGAACTAAAATATACAAGAAATACATAACCAGTCAAAAATTTGTAAAACAAAAAATCATTCAACAAATTAAAAATATGCTAACAACAATGAAAGGACTAATAATGGAAAAAAAACATTAATGCTAATGTGTAAACATAATTAGTGTAGTGATTAAGTAATAAACATCTCCTCAGAGTCGCGTCTATTTTTACAGGCGTTTCGATGAGGATCAGCATTTATAACTAGTTTATCCCGTCAGACAAACGTCATCGCCACTTATGCTTTACCCCACGACTTACGTCTATTCCATACTGCAGTAAAAAAGGACTCACTACAAATAGCCAAAACCCAACCAACCCTAAATTTGTAAAGCACCAATATTTTTTTTGATGATATGATATAAAAAGTATAGATTTACTGAACAAACAAAAATAAAAACAACTAAATAAAACACTACCGTACCACCAAAAGAAAACATGAAAACAAAATAAATTTAAATTCTAATAGAAACATAAAAATATTAATCAATTTATTTTAAGAAATAAAACCAAATAGGTATTATTAGCATAAACAAGCCCAAGATATTCAGAAAGCAGTATACCTCATTAAAAATTTTTAAGCGAAACCCAAAATCATAACAATCATAGAATAATATATGATAGCGAAAAACCTTAAAAATGTAAGCGACATATATGTAAACATTAAATGAAGGATATAAAAATATTCTCTGAATAATAATAAAGATGAAAGTTGTGCATGTGAAAATTAAAACAAAACTGAGTAATGAATGCAAGATAATATAACATGAAAGTTTCTGTAAACAGTAATAATATGAAAATCAGGAGATAAGTAATATATTAATAAATATAGCAATAAGACTAAATAATTATTGTAATAAAACCAGATAATTTTAAGCCAAATGAGTGGTTAAAAAATTAGTTGTGGGTAATATAACAGTGATATAAGTCGTGATATAAAAACAATGTAGAAAGCGGGAAAAAAAAATTGTTAAAAAGTTTTCTCTACGGTCCGAACTAAAAGAAACTTTGAGACCATATCTAAATTGAAATTTCCGAAAAGTAAAGTTTTCTCTACGGTCCGAATTAAATGTAACTTTGAGACCATAACAAAATAACAAGGAAAAACATACTTCATAAAAACAAGTCGAAAGCCGCTAGTTTATAAGAATCGCTCTTATGCTTATATGTATATGCATATGAATCCTTTAATGAAAAATTCGATCACACATATAGATAACATACAAATCTGTATCTACATTTCAACAACATATCTATTAAAAGAAAATATTATCTAAATAAGGATGAGTTCAAAGATAGTTTATCTATAAAAGAACAAAAAGCATGCAAAAGATGTAAACAGACTGTATGTGCATAAGGGTGTATAGGTGTAATGTGTAAGTCTGTGCTGTGTATGTCGTTCAGTAGAGTCTTGTATTGTTATTAACCAGCGTAAAAGATTTGTCTCTGAACTAAACCAAGCCAGCCCAGCCTATTTACCCAATCTATTTTGTCATCAATTGGTAAATTAAAAGTAGAAATGTTTGTTAAAAATATCGAGACAATGTCTCTTGTACTATCTACTAAAATTCATTCTTATGTTACTCGTCAAGTGAGTCTCTTCCGTTTACTGTGACGGTTTTTAAGCACTCCAAAAATTCTTGTTTGTCTAGATTTTTTCCTCGAACATCATTTCTTTGGAATTCGTTCCCTTCTTCTTGTTTTCCTGATTCATATAATTTGCAGTCTTTCAAGATGTTTGTTAATTGTTATCTTCCTCTATAAATTTTGTCTTTTCTCTTCCAATAACTTCTTACTCTCGTATTGATTGCTTGCAGCATTATTGGAAGTGAAGATGTGAAAAAAAAAATAATAATGAATAATAAATTTTGAAACAATGGAAGTCAAATTTTTTTTCTTTTCTTTAACCAACAAACTAACTTAAATAGCATACATTTTCAACAAAAAAAAAAGTGTGTCATCACTTGACACACTTTACTTTTGTCATTCTTAAAAATATCTAATTTAATTATATATTTTTGAAGATGACAAAATTTTTTAATACTGTCAACATCTTTTTTTTTCAATCTTTTAACATTTAACATTTTTTTCAATGTTTTAACATTAATCATTTTTGTGCTTAACTACAAACTGTACAATAGTATCAATTTTGTCATTTAGTGGTAAATTAAAAGTAAAAAAACTTATTGAAAATAATTAAATTTTTTTTTCAAAATTTAAAAAATTATTGAAAAAAGTTATGCAAATTGCAAAATGAAAATATTATTGCTCTAAAAAGGTTACTTTGCTTCCATTTTTCTAGAAGTACTTTGAAAATTGTAGAAACGTATCATGAATTTTAAAACGTTTGATATTTGATATTATTTTTACTTTTTTAAGATATTAACGAGTGTGAAAGCTCTTCACCACCATGTTCATGGAGTAATGGAGTATGTTTAAATACAAATGGTAGTTTTATCTGCTCATGTAAAAATGGATGGAAGATGGGTCAAGATAATGCAAGCTGTTGGGGTGAGTCAATTTAAAGATATTTAACTTTTGATTTAGTTAGTTTTGATAAGTTTACTATTTATGACAAAAAAAATTTAAAAATATTCAAAACAGAATTATTGAATTATGTTATTTTACATCCTTTATTGAACTTTTTTTTTAATTAACAGTCCATATTTTGTTGTAGTTATTAGAATAAATTTTTGTTCAATGGAATATTTTTTATTGCTTAAATAAACAAATAAATTGAATAGATGAACTTTTTTTTTTCTGCATTAATTGAAAAATTCATTTTTTTTAATTCTCAAAAATATCTATTTAGTTTTTTGATTTTTAACATTTCTTAATGATTATACCAACATCTTTATTTCTTATTATTTGCTCAATTTTTTTCTTAAATTTTTTTAATAACAATATTTTTAATTAGAAACAGTTAAAAAGAAAATCATATTACTCAATAGAAAAATAAAATCATCGTTCAAAAAAAAGTTATACTCTATTCTTATCTTTAAAGTGGTTTGTGAATTGAATCATTTTACATGGTCATGCTTTGTGATTTAGTGTCTATAAAATGATTTTCTATATATACATATATATATATATATATATATATACATATATATATATATATATATATATATATATATATATATATATATATATATATATATATATATATATATATATATATATATATATATATATATATATATGTATATATATTTATATATATATATATTTATATATGTATATTTATATATATGTATATATATTTATATATATATATTTATATTTATATATATATATATATATATATATATATATATATATATATATATATATATATATATGTATATATATATATATATATATATATATATATATATATATATATATATATATGTATATATACTTTCATACATACACAGGTCTCTGCGGGAAGCGAGACCTTTTGCTCTCGTCCACACTCCCCTAAAATGGTTTTACGGGAGCATTTTATGGCTCTCGCAAAAGTATAATTTTTTCTCTCAAAAGTCTAATTATTATTGTAACTCGTTTTAGTGTTGTAAGTTATTTTAATTATTTTTAATAATTTTTAAAATGCTTGCATTTGATACAATCAGAAAATTTAAAAACTTTTTTATTAACAGTAAAAACAAAGCTAGTCTAAATAATTTTTTCATACTGCAATGAATGACACTTGGTATGTATATATTCCTGTTATATTAGCGTAACAAACAAGTTTAAAATGGCATGACAAATCTACGAAATTGCAAACTTTTGTTAAAAAAGGACAGAAAAATGTCACGTTTCTATATTTTTGCATATGCAAAATATAGAAACGTGTAGAAAAATGGTTGTGTTTGCTTAAAATTTTTGAAAACACACGCATTATTTCAGCAATTTTTTTTCCAAATAATTATGCAATTAGTAATCTTTTAAAAAACAATAAGTTAATAATAATAATATGATATTTTTATTAACTTGTTAAATACTTAACATGATATTGTTTTTAAAAGTTTTAAATAAGAAATGTCAAAGCAACTTTTATTTTATTTTTGGCTCCTTTAAATTTAAAAAAAATTATTTGAAAATTAAACTTCCTTACATGATTTGACCTTTTTCATAAAATAAAAATTCAAACATCAACGTTCAATAAAAACTGTTATAAAAAATATAAGTTTACCGTTACAACAGGATCTTCTTTTTTTTTTTAAACATCTTTGCTTCCAACAAGGCTGCAAGCAACCACTATAAGAGTTGGAAGTTACTGGAAGTGAAAAGATAAAGATTGTAGAGCAAAGTAACGATTGGCAGATGACTTAAAAGATTGCAAATTATATGAATCAGGAAAGACGAAGGAAGCAAATTCTAAAGAACTGATGTTCAAGGAAAATAACTAAAGGAATAAGAGTTTTTAGAGCACTTAAGAGAAATGTCAAGAGTGATGGCCTTAACTATTCCACCTTTATTTAATGCATGATAAAACATATAAGTTATTACTGTTCTCATTCTACCAATTGTTTTTGTTAGCAAATCAGCTGAATTGCTAACAGTAATAACTGGTAGAATAAGAAGATCAAAATCCATACTGATGATCAGAATATAAGTTATTATACTCAAGATGAGAGATTAAGTGTTTTTTTATCAAGATTCAAAAACCTTTCTTATGATAGGAAGAAGACTAATTGGACAGTACTTAGACGAATCAGATTGCTCTTCAGAATTTTTTGAAAATAGGGATAACAGATGCCGCTTCTTAGCAAGCTGGAAAACTAGACTTTGATAAGCACTTTTTAAATAGTTTTGAAAATATTGACAGCTCTGGAGAACACTTCTATAAGACTATAACAGGTATGTTGTCCGGGCCACAAGCTGTAGAAGAGTCTAAGCAGGAAATCACTTTAGATACAGAAGCTGGAGTGATACAAATGTCAAGCAATGAATCAATCTGTTTGATGGCTATATCAGGTAGAACACAACAAGTGGAATCAAGAGGTGATGTTGATGAAAAGTTTGTTAGCAAAATAAATCTGTTTTGTCTTTAGGTGAGGTGACAAAGTCTGAACCATGCAACAGAGTTGGAATTACAGATTTGCCCTTATTATTGATACTAATAAAGATTCTCCAGAAGTCACGAGAGCCTAGTTTTTGTGATAAAATACAAGATTTCATGGTTTGAGAATAGCGGGCTTTGGCGTTAGACAAAACCTTTTTACAATGGTTCCTAGCAGTAATAAACAGACGTCTGTTTTCTAGAGAATTGTTTTGCTGATAGATATGGAAGTAATGGTTTCGATTAGCAATTGCAGAAGCACAATGTGAGGAAAACCATGGAGAAGAGTGAGGCTTGACCGAGAGGGAATAAAGGATTCCATGAGAGGGGATAAAGGATCGAGAGGGAATAAAGGATTCCATGCCAGCCTGAATCCACGAAGTTCTGTAAGAAGCACATTTGTCAACAGGAAGACAAAAGATTTCTACCCAAGGGCCATCATGAAGAAAATTAAAGAAAGAGTCCCAGTCAGCTTTAAAGTAGTTGTAAGAGGTACAATGATAGGGGGATTCAGATGATGAAGAAGAATGAGATTTAATTTGTCAGTAACTTTGCTGGCTTTAATGCCAGTTACTGACATTAGAGCCAAGCTGTTCAGTGTGATGAGCATTAAATTCACCAACATCAACAATATTGGCTGATAGATAAAGAGAGAGAACTTGGTCAATATGATCAGAAATAACATCAAAAAGAGTACAGTCTTGAGATGAAGGTTAGCAATATAGAACAAAGAGAAAGGCGATAGAGTGAAGTGGTGCTAAAGGAAAGCACATATAAGTGTAGTCTGTGGATTCAAACCTAGTTTTCTGACAAATGGGTGAATTCTTATGAATGTAAATGCCCAGGCCAAACATGTGACTATTGAAGTCTTCACAAATTAAAGGATTATAACCATTAACACTGACATCACAAGATGAACATAAATTAGACTCACAAAGAGCAAGTAGGTCTGATGAACTTTGCAAGAGATAAGACTTAACAGAAGAAAAGTTCGAAGACCATGAATATGATGACAATGATGTGCTGTAAAACACATCATTGTCATTATATTCTTGGTGATAACTCGGATGATGTTTTTTGTGTTTTATAGTTTTTGGTACTGTATTTATTTTTAAATTTGTTAAGAACTTGACTCAAAGCATAGATAGTACTCAGTACACTGTTTATTAGCCCATGCAATTGCCTCATTACTATTAATAAAGCCTAAGACATAACAAAGGGCTCCAAACCAATGCATCGAGTCAAGAAGGTTCAGCATTCAACATCCTAAACTGGAAACAATGTATTAAAAATACATGTGCACCAGCCTCGGAGTTGACATTTCCTAGCCTTTACCAAAAAAGGCGTATCCTACAAGGCAGCAGGTCATGAAGCAGATTGTACTAGGTTACATGTTACCAGTAGCAGAATAACCTGACCTGACATATTATATCTGATATCATATCTGACATATTGTATATGATATCCTGATATATCTGGTATCAAGTATATGTGATCCCTACTAAATGGAGCTCATGAACATCTGTTCATTGCTGAACAGAAAGCTACCTTCAACTTGCTAGCCAACCAAATAATAAAACTTGAACAAAAATTAACTCCTTGCCACAAATCGGTTAAGTTCTTGTTGAAAAAATATAATAAAATATGGCATCCCTGAAGCAGTCTTTATAGTAGGCTTTACAATAACACCACCAGCAGTGTTACTCTGCATCACAGAGGTCCTAACAGTTATAGGCCATATCAATAATGATGTTAGTTTCTCCAATCATCTTAACACTAAAAAAACATCAAACTGTTGTCCCGTCATTGTTGAATTCAAGAGCGTTAATGATAAGAAATTAGCTCTTATGAATTCTTGCAAATTATACAGCTACAAATAAAACTTTCAAGAACTACGGAGTCAGTCCTGATTTAACACCTGCTATAAAGAACTTGATTGTCAACTAAGTAAAGATTTCATTACTTGTAATGATAAACTTTGTATTGATAACCCTGATTTACCTTTTCACTGGAGTACCCATGATGTTACAATTGTCAAGATTTGCGGTTTTCTTACTCCTCGCTCCATGCCAACCATTTTGCTCTAGGATCAACACATCTCGTTGATCCACCATTTGTACAACTAATATGCACTCACTCAGTAACAAAATCAAAATTTTTAACCAATTTCTTACAGGTTCTAACACTGGCTTTACCTGCCTAACGAAAACTTGGGTAAATTCTAGTGTAAACCAAGTCAATAATAATTTCATTTACATAAGCACTAAACATCAGGATTGCATAAGTTGTGGTACTATTATATTCATAAACAAAAAATACTCAGATAAAACAGAACAAATAAAATTAATGACTGACCATGCTTTTAACTTAGTGTCTAAACAAAAAATTGAATTAGCAAGCTGGATTGCAGCTTACTTATCTAACCATTGCCAAATAATTAAAACAAATGATCTCACTATTTACTGGAAATGTATTGAAGTTGGAGCACTTCAAGGTAGTGTTCTTGGACTAATTTTGTTCATTCTCTTTATTTCTGACATTAACGCCTATATCCCACCTGAAACGAATCTTAAAAAATGATGACATCATAACTTACATAATCTACAATAAAGTTGAAAAAGTCAACAGTCACAAGTATCTTGGAATCATGTATAATGAGAATCTTGATTGGGATGAACAACGGACAAAAGTGCACAACAATATATAATTAATAGAATATCTACTCAAACGCCTTCGGACTCACTTAGGTCAATCTTCTACAAGTTTATAGATTTTACCCTATTAATCACTTGATATATAGTGCTTTTGTTCTTACTTTGTATAGTCCTGCTGGAAGAAAAGAAATTTAGCATTTCCATAAAAATGTTCTAAACGCTATTTGAATTGATGTAATCAATTTGTGCAGCTCTAATATTAGTTTTGCTATTGAAGACAAGATCTGTATTAATATCCTTAAAATGATCCTTGCTAACTCGTGCCATCCTATAACCACTAAATTAGCTGATACTAACAGCAGAAACCCAAACAGATTTATATTTGCTCTACAAAGACCACGACCTATCAGCAATCTTCTATTCAAAAATAACTCTGTATTCTTCAAGATGGTGTCAGCGACTTATACCCACCACAAAAAAGGGAAGTATCAGTGCCTTTTCAATACATAAATTATGTTTGCTTGCATTTTTGGCGACCTTGTCTTTAGTGTTTAATGATAGAGAAAATTGTACAGACCATTACCTGTAATGCTATTTAATTTTGAATAAAGATTTATGAATAATATGAAAAATAAATAAATATATGTTTATATATATATATATATATATATATATATATATATATATATATATTTTTATATATATACACAGCTATATATATGTATGTATATATATATATATATATATGTATATATATATGTATATATATATATACATATATATATATATATATACATATATATATATATATATATATATATATATATATATATATATATATATATATATATATATATATATATTTGTATATATATACACAGCTATATATATGTATGTATATATATACATATATATGTATATATATATATATATACATATATATATATACATAAATATATATACATATATATATATATATATATATATATATATATATATATATATATATATATATATATATATACATACATATATATAGCTGTGTATATATATACAAATATATATATATATATTTATATAAATATATATACATATATATATACATATATATATATATATATATATATATATATATATATATATATATATATATATATATGTATATATATATGTATATATATATATATATATATATACATATATATACATACATATAAATAGCTGTGTATATATATATACAAACATATATATATATATATATATATATATATATATATATATATATATATATATATATTATGTACTAAAAATTCAAATGGTACATATATATAATTTTTAGGTGTGTATATTTTTTTTTTTTTTTTTTTTTTTTTTTTTTTTTAATTCACCTCCTCAAGGCCGAGAAGGCCACTACAGACAAGGAGGCTACTTATTCGTGGCTATAACCCTCTCTCAACTCTATAACTCCGAAACACGAACCTTGACGAACAAGGCCGCTGCGCGGAGAAACGAGTTGATTTATACATATATATATATATATATATATATATATATATATATATATATATATATATATATATATATATATATATATATATATTACAAGTTAATTAATTTTATTAAACATTTAATATATACATACATATTATATATAATTACAAACTGTACAATGGTATCTATATTGTCATTATTAATCAGTAATAGGAAATCTTATTGAAAATATTGATTTTTTTTTTTTTGAGATTAGAAACAATAATTGAAATGATTTATACAAATTATAAAAATAAATTTTTTGGTTTGAATAAGAATTTTAGAATTAAATTTAGAAGTTTTTGATTTGTGGAAAGGTGTAATTAATTTTAAATAATTTGATATTTAGAATTGTTTTAACTTTTTTAAGATATTAATGAGTGTGATAGTTCCTCACCACCATGTTCATGGAGTAATGGAGTATGTACAAATACAAATGGAAGTTTTATCTGCTCCTGTAAAAGTGGATGGAAGATGGGTCAAGATAATACTAGTTGTGTTGGTGAGTCATTTTAAAGTAGTTTAAATATTAGTTTGTTTAGTTTTGATAAGTATATAAATTAAGGCATAATATTTGTGAACATGAAAATCAGAAATGTTGATTTGTTAATATTTTATATATTTTATTGTAATGGTTGTTTCTTTAAATATTATATTTTGTTGTAGTTTTTAGAACAATTGATTTTGTAATAAATTTTGAGACAGTAGGAATCAAATTTTTTTTATTTCTTTTACAAATAAACTGACTTGAAGAGCATAAGGTTTTTTTTTTCCTCTAACATTTGACACATTTTAATTTTGACATTCTTAAAAATATCTAATTTATTTATATTTTTTAGGATGACTAAATTTAAATTGGTTTTTAAAATTTAAATTCTGCTAACATCTTTTTTGTTACCTTAATCTTTAAATATTATTATTATTTCATTTTATTAATTCATTTTTCTTAACTGCAAACTGTATAGTAGATTTTATAACTGTATAACAGTATAGTATTAAGTTTAAAAAAGAAAAACTTATTCAAAATAATGAATTTTTTTTTTTTAAATATAAAAAACAATTGAAACAAATTATGCAAATTGCAAAAGTAAAATACAGTGGAGAAAATAGAATTAGCCTCACCATGAGATGTGGTAAGTGTTTAACGAATGAAGAATAAGCAGTACTCAAACCATTCGAAGATACAGATTTATCTAATTGGGAAATTGCAAAGAAAATTAAAAGCTCTCTAAAAGTGGTTAATAATTACTTCAAGATTAGCGTTAATTATGAAGCTTATAAGGTAGGTGGTGGCCAACATAAAATTGATAATTGTACTAAACAAGTTATTGTATGTTGTGCTGCTACTCAACACATGGCTGCATCTCAAATTCATGCTGATTTACAATTACCTGTAACTGCTCAACGTGAGACAAATTTTACATGAAAATCCAAACACAGTTTTGAAAAAGCATAAACCAAAACCAAAAATTACTGTTTGTGATAAAGAAGTTAGATTACAATTCGCAAAAAAACACATTTCTTGGCAGAAAAAGTGGGATCAAGTTCTCTTTAGTGATGAAAAAAAGTTCAATTTAGATCGTCCTTATGGCTATGAATATTACTGGCATGATCATCGCAAAAAAAAAGAAACTTGATTGAATCATAATTTTGGTGATGGAACTGCTATGGTTTGGGGGGCTTTTTCATTTGCAGAAATATTTCCACTGGCATGGATTTCAATAAAAATGAATTCACAGGACTACATTGACTTATTAGAAATAAGTTTGCTTGAACATGGTGAAGAATTGATGAGTGAAAATTTCACTTTTCAACAAGACAATGCTTCCATCATTAATTGTAAGGTTACAAAAGCTTGGTTTAGAGAAAAAAATATTCACATATTGGGATGGCCCTAATGCAGTCCAGGTTTTAACCCAATTGAAAATCTATTGAGAATATTTCTAAAAAGGTTCATGATGATGGTAAGCAATATGAATCCACATTGGAGCTGAAAACTTATATCAGAGAAGTTTGGAATGAAATATCTATAGAAACTATCCAAAATCTTGTGACTAGTATGTCAAGTCACATATTTGAAGTCATTAAAAAGCATTAAATGAGCTTAAAAAAAATATATTTGCTGTGTTTTCTTGTATATAACCTGAATGAGGCTAATTTTATTTTCTCCACAAATTAAATTGTTTTAATTTTTTTTCCATTAGTTATTAATTAAACCAACTTATAAACTTTTTAATTGTAGTAGAAGATAATAAGAAATTAGATTTATAATTGTAATTTATAATTGTTTTACTGCCATTTGTTAAATTAGAACGAAATATAAAGGTGAGACTAATTCTATTTTCTTCGCTGTATTATTGCTCTAAAAACATTAGTTTATTTCCATTTTTCTAGAAGTGCTTTGAAAGTTTTAGAAAAGTATTATGAATTTAAAATCGTTAGTTATTTAATATCATTTTATTTCTTTAAGATATTAACGAGTGTCAAAGTTCTTCACCACCATGTTCATGGAGTAATGGAGTATGTTCAAATACAAATGGAAGTTTTATCTGCTCCTGTAAAAATGGATGGAAGATGGGTCAAGATAATGCTAGCTGTTGGGGTGAGTCAATTTAAAGCTATTTAACTTTTGGTTCAGTTAGTTTTGTTAGGTTTATTATTTAAGACAAAAAAAATTTGAAAATGTCTAAAACAGAATTGTTGAATTATGTTAAAAGAATTTCAGATTTAAATTTACATTTTTTTGATTTGTGACAAGGTATAATGAATTTTAAATAATTTGATATTTAGAATTGTTTTTGTTTTTTTCAAGATATTAATGAGTGTGAGAGCTTTGCACCACCATGTTCGTGGAGTAATGGAGTATGTACAAATACAAATGGTAGTTATATCTGTTCCTGTAAAAGCGGATGGAAGATAGGTCAAGATAATGCTAGCTGTGTTG